GTCTTCAACCCAGCTGTGTCGGTGGCATAACAAAATGTAACAAATCACATTTTTTGTAACCTAGAATCGATGTATAGCTGCATGTATGTAAGGACCTGAGAGCCGCATCCATTGAAGATTGTGATGGATAAAAAAAAAGTGTCTCAGCCTCTCAGCCACCAGACACAATGCCAAATAAAAAAGAGGGCAAAATATTGTCTCATGTCTCTTCATGTGAAAATATGACTTTGAATGCAATGCAGTATCAAAATGTTTCTTACATGGTACTTCTCTGTAGGTAGCATTGAAGCCTCGCCTCTGCACCGAGCCATCAGTGACAAAGTGAACAGTCAAAAAGTTTCCACTTGATATGAAGGAAGCAGGGACAGAGGTTCCACAAAATGTCCCAACCAAAGGGAAGTTCATGTTGTCACCGTCATAAACCTGAGAGAGATACAAATATTAATACAAGCTTGGCGGAAATACCAGATAATAGCAAGTTCATTTGGTCATAGTAGGGGGTCATATGATTGTTGGGGTTTTCTCTGTATCTATGAAGCGCCTTGAGGCGACTTTTGTTGTGATTTGGCGCTATATAAATAAAATTGAATTGAATTGAAATTGAATTGAAGTAGTAGGGTCAGTGTATGTGGCCACAAGTGGAGTCAATTGATCCACTTGTGGCCAGATGTACTGACACACTGTGCCAGTGTAAACTGGGTTTTAGTATAAAAATAGTACTGTTGATATTTGAACTTGAAAATTTTCAATGAATTAAATATCTGCCCTCAGTATACTTACTCTGACATAGTCATAGCGGCAGGTAGTGGAAGTCTCAAGTTCAAAGGAGTCAAAGGTCAGATTGACTGCCTTGTTGACAGGCATCTCAATGGTCCACAGGCAGTTCATCCGTGGTTCATAGACACCATCTAGATTTGGATCTGGTGAACCAAACATGCCCATGGGCATGGAAAGGTATCCGCCACATCCCTGTGCTGGACCTGCAAGTAATTTAAGCATGTCCACTTGTTTATTCTGGATAAAACAGCAACAATAGAACTTGTCCAATTTCTGGAAAGTTCAAACTAGCAATGTAAAAATAGATAATACTGACTAGATAGTACTTGTAACAGTTGCTGCTGGGTACCCAGTCAGAATTCAAGACAGACTAATGTTATTGTTTTAGTTATCACCAGCAAAATGCATACAGTAATTGTACCTTAAATCAATTCCTACAAAGAGTGGACACATGCCCAGAAAGCACAAAAAACACCAACAACACACAATGCAAATCAAGAAACTGCTCAAGTTTACAAGTACATAAAATCTAAACATTCACTGTCCCTTTTCA